TATATATATATGTATGTATATATATATGGACATTTCTACAAGCAAGATTGGGGATCCACGTAGAGTGTACGAAATTTCGATTGCATAGTTTTCTCTAGCTCCAATATCCGACAGATCAATTTATGATCCCACACAAAAAATGGCAAAATTTATGGTAGACCACGGTCAAAGTCAGGAAACAGCTGACGAATCTCTACAAAAAATAAAAAAATGGTGTTGACCGTAGCAAACTTAATCTCATGAGTTTATCGGAAGACATCGACCGAATAGCAACACAATACAAAATGAACCTGAAGAGATTGCACACCGCAGCAGACTCATACGATTCCCCTGATTGGCACAGGCCATTTGCCTATACTTTAGATAGGCAAACAAATTACATACTCACTCATCGCACCACTACAACCCATTACATCACACACCTACAACTGAAGGCAAATAAAAGTAAGCCAATGTCGATGTACACCAATAAACTTTCTTCGTCCACAATGGGTTTCGCGTCAGTGTAGTCAAAGAAACAACGGAACTTCTAGTCAGCACAATTACAGCTTTCGCAATCACGTAGGGGATCCAATATACGCCCCTGCCTCAGTTTACTCACACGTGGCACATACATATACACCCCACATCAGACGTATCATGCGGCGATCACACGCACGCACCTGTATGAGAGCAAAGGCTAGGGCAGGTGTGATGGATATGCATCGCTGGTACATGATATTGGCTTCGGCATTCTTCCCCTCTCTGAGTGCTTTCTCGGCCAATGCTCTGTTGGTAGTTCGACGCCTATATGGATTTGAATATCAAGTGCACAGTTGTGAATGCATCCAAGTGCACGAACGGGAGCAAAAGCGAGTGTGTTACATACTGAGTTGTATATTGATATATGAGCATGAACAAGTGAAGAGATCTCAGCTGCTGTGCCACGGGCCAAACACCCGCCAAATGCTACACACCCAATACTCCATACCTGTCCACAGGCCAAGCCACGCGGCAGATTCAACACACATGCCCTGACCAAGACAGTTCACTGATATGAAAGACGCTACCAAGCACTGCACACACCTTCCCGTCGTATACATTGCACATATGAAGTACATTTCGCAGTGTGGCTGACACCCACAGCACAACTGACATTGGCACAGCGGGCAACGTAAGTGAAGATCGACAGTCCCAACAATCAGACCAACGGCATATATGCAGAGCAATAGCAGGACATGTAGCCACACATGCTCTCTAGAACCAAACACCCACTCTCAGTGTAAAATCAGATGGCTTCAGTTCAGTTCTTGTGCCGCCATTGCGCCTGGTTAATGTACCCGAGAACACATATGTACATGGCCACACATCAGGTGTGTATATGTACGCGGGAGACAGGTAGGCAAGTACATATAACGCAGCCGAGGGTGATAGTGGAGCGGGCGTTCGGGATAACATACGCTGACTTTGTGTTCACGCAGACACTCATTAACAAAGTATATAGTCTCAGTATCGAAATGGCAAAGCCTCATACAGACACTCATCAACAAAGTGTATAGTCTCAGTGTCTAAATGTCAGTGATGTGAGAGAGGCCCCTGCACAATGTTCGAAATCAGCACACAATACACTCCCAACAATAGTCACATCACACTGCACATGTCGACAATAACCACATGACAAAATGTCAGCTGTATCCACATAACATACTGTCTGCGATCGTTGTCGGTGACAGCTTTGGACGGCAACGACCGTCCGTCGAAAACAAGCAAAGGCTCGACCTTATGGCTTCTCAGCATAGTAATGCGCTTCCGACTGAAGCTCAGATATCTGTCTGTGGGTGTGCCGTCGGCCAGTTCACGCGCACAGCTGTAGGCGCCACGGTGCAGCCACGAGTACGCATCCACAGCAACCACCTGGTCACGGAAGACGTCCACGTGGCCAGTCACCATCGCTCCCTTGAGAAACGGCAGCAAGCCTGTGCATGGGAGGTGGTACATGTATTAGGCGGTGGCGGGTTGATGTGATGTGATGTATGTAGGGTGCTGTTGTGCAGGTGATTTGTGATTTGTGAGATAGCCGTACATATACGCATAACCGGCTTATACTCACTGAGTACCAAATAAGGTATAAACATTAGCGACGCCCACAGTCCATATATTGGTGTGTGTGCTAAGGTGAGCTTGTAACACCATTGTTATTCAGGTTATTCTATGCTGACGATTGAAGCCAGTGCTCTGCAAAAGGTATGGGCCAACCATGACGCGATCAGCGTAGAGTTGTCACAACACTCATAACTGACACCTATCACAGCTGCTTGCCCTGAAGTGCTCAAATACTTTATAATGTGCAGTGGAAGGGACTATTGTGCGTATACCTACATGTGCGCAGTTCTTGCGGCCTTGCGCGTGTTTCATTATAATGCTCCCCTTCTCAAACCACTCGCACAGAAACAGTACATAGCACACACTCCGAAGGACTGTTGGTACACCGAAAGTAAGTCATAGGCGAAGGTGAACTCCAATGAACGAGGAACCGTCGAAACAGTGAACAGCATATCGAAACTCTGAACTGTGAATCGCAATCACACCCGAATAAAACACTACAAATTGCAAAAGACTATCTATAGTATCTATGGTATCTTAAAATAGTATTGAAGAACAGTATCCTTAGTATCTATAGTATCTAAAAATAGTATTGTAATACGGAATCTATAGTTAGCTAAAAATAATATTGTAGAACGGTACCCATGGTATAAAAATTATCTAAAAATAGTAATCTAAAGTACCGCGCGTGAACAACCCTAAACCCACGGGGCAATTTCATTTACACTCACAACTCCAGTGACAACACACAAACAGTACATTCGTCGCACAAGAAATATACTGTGGTACGCAAATGGCCAACAAGTCACTGTCAACCCAAAGCACCACCATCCTTTAGGATGTGAGTGTTGTGGGGTATATATTTGGTAAGTATACAGAGACTAAAACATAACTGTCCATGTACAAACAGTACGACAAACACTGACCAGCTATGAGATGCACTAGCCAGCCATTCAAAACACAAGCATGCGCACTTCCTACCTTGGATTCCCATGCTGTGCTATTTGTGACTCGGCAGAACCTATTGATAGTAATATGAAAAATGATGGCAGAAGAGTCCGATGAGACCGACTTGGCACCAAGGTATATGTGGGCTCAAGCAGGGTTTAGGGTTTTAGTTTATAAGCAGTGCACGACTTGCCAATCACACCAATCACTTCAGTTGTGTGTAGTTGACAATTACACAACCGCAACCCAAAAGTACCTGCAGCCCCATATACAATGTATTGTATCGCACATATGCATACTTCTAGATATTGTACGCACACATTCATGTCAATCTAGAACATCCATAATACTCAAAAGAAATGCGGTTAGAAATACAATGGATGTGTTCATAACATACTTAAAAATGACTAACACCCACGCCCGGTATAGAGAGTAAGATCCACAACGAATCACATGCCACTACGAATTCACTAAACAAACTCAGTCACACAATGCTCTCGCATGCAACGCCCAAAGTACTTTTCAAAGTAGAGCAAACAAACGCTGCACATGTCGCGCACAGAGGATTGATCCTGTGGTGTACACGAGAGTTCTTGTAAAGTGTACACTTTAGGTATATACTTTACATCGAACTGACAGTGTGTGCATAATGCAATAAAACAACTACTGGTGTGTAAAAGAAACATTACATATGACGTTAGGTATGTACTTTACATCCAACTGACAGTGTGTGCATAAGGCGATCAACAACTACTGGCGTGTGAATGAAACGTTACATCTGACGTAAGTATGTACTTTACATCCAACTGGCAATGTGTGCATAAGGCAATCAAGAACTACTGGCGTGTGAATGAAACATTACATCTGACGTTAGGTATGTACTTTACATCCAACTGACAGTGTGTGC